TAGAGTTTGAAGCTAATCCAGTTTTATGGCAGACTTTATCTCCATAACAAACAAAGGACAAAAGAAAGCCTCATATTTGCTACAAATAAAAAATGTCTCCTTTAGAAACCATCGCTGACATTCAATGCAATAACAGTAATTCAGACAGATATTAAACACTAAGCAAGAATGTGTGCCCCCTTAGCCTCTGTCGACCAAATAAAACATGTCTCTTATTTGACTCCAATCACCAAACTGCTAATGTAACTAAGAAAAGGTTAGAGCTGTCACACCATGATTTGATAGCAGTTCAAAGACTCCTTTGCTCAGGGAAAAATGTATCAATTTCTGCTTTCTTTTTAAGACTCCCCCTCACCAACACCATTTCTGAAAATTCATTCTTCAGCTGATTAAAGAACTATTTTAGTGTCAAAGTGTAGATCAGGAGTGCTGGCCCCAAAGTTATCAAATACTGACATCAGTAAATTAATTTGTTTAAGTGTGACCCAAAGCCAGGTGAAGACATTTGCCTAGAGGTTGGTGAAAGGTAAGAGTGGAGAAAAACCTTACAGTTCTGCAAATCAGAGGAGCTCTAGCTAGGAGGAGGCTCCTTGTCTGCAAGCAGTGAGAGAACAGAGAACAATGTGGGGCACAAGAGTGCTGAGTTCCCTTTCTGCTGTGTAGAGGGGATGGGGGTTGGGGGTGGCAGGCACTGAAACAGGAAGTAATGGGGCACTGGGGACAGACAGTGTGTTTCTTCAGGTTGCTCAGTTCTTTTTAGCAACATTTTTTTTTCAGCCCTATATTTTGAATGATGTTGGGAACTGTCTTCTCAAAGTGCATGGGAGCTATCCTTTTGGGAGGCTGACCACACTTGGCTGCAAATTATGCTCACTGGGCTCTTGTAGAGTAAAGCTCCAACACTGAAAGTGACAGGGGATATTATAAAGACATATGGGAAAGCCAGAAGAGAAAAGTAACCAGTGAACTAATCTCAGGGAGTTCAGAGCATACCTCAGTTCCACGAAGACTTCCAGCTGCTGCAGCTATGACAGCTTGACAAGGCCCTTGTTCTTGTCCCCATCTCCCACCCAGACACAGGATCCTCTTTGCTTGCTAACTGTCTAGCCTCTGTGCTTGAGCGGTAGCCTCTGCTTCTGCATTTTCTTCTGCCCTGTGGTTTACACCCCAACTCTTTCTCTGAAAGAGAACTTACTTAGGATGGTCTGAGACTGAGTAAGGAAAAAAAAAAAAACAATACAATGAACAGAAAATCAACTTGGCAATGGTTTCAACCATAAGCATTTATTTTTCTCTCCTTGGCAAACATGCAGAGGTGAATGGTTATGGACACAGAATCCAAGGTTCAATGCTAACACTGATGACTCAGGCTGCCAGTATTCTCAATCCTCCGTGTGTGTGTGTGTGTGTGTGTGTGTGTGTGTGTGTGTGTGTGCGCGCGCGCGCGCGCGCGCGCGTAAATGTTTGCATATATATGCTCATTTGGGTGTGTAAGTGAGCATGCATGTGTGTTCACTGGCATAGGGAAGTCAGAGGTACATTGTAAGTGTCTTCATCAATCATTCTCCACTATATATTTTTGTTTTGTTTTGTTTTTCCAGGCAGGGTTTCTCTGTGTAACAACCCTGGTTGACCTGGAACTCAAAGAGATCAGCCTGCCTCTGCCTTCCAAGTGCTGGGATTAAAGGCATGCTTCACCGTTGCCCAGCCTGCAGTATATTTCTTGAGGCAGGGTTTCCTATTGAACCTGGAGCTCATCAGTCTGGCTGGACTGTCTAGCCAATGAACCCCAAGGATCTGCCTTTCTCCTTCCCACACCACATCCTCATCACTAGTGTTACAGACTTTTGTCTGCTGCACAATGTGGATACTGTAGATCTGAATCAGGCCCTCACGCTTACATGGCAGGTACTGCACCAATTAAGCCATCTCCCCAGTTGCACTTCCATTTTTAGTTGTGGATTTGTTTTCTCCTAAGACTTAGTGCATGAGGGTTGCCGATTGCCACTGCCCAGTAGACTTCACTGTGTATACCATTGAAGCAGGGAATTAGAAAGGGTCAAGTCTAATGTGTCCTCTTGTTGCATCTGTTCTTATAAAGCTCTCCAGTCATTTGCAAAAGACTGATGGGAGTTCCAAGTGTTTGATATCATACTGATACTAAGAAAAGCACTTTTTGTTTTTACTCCCCATACCTCTCTCATCTGTCTTGCTGTTATATCTGATCATGTCATGCCACCCCCTGCTTCAAAGTCAGCAGGACAGGAAAGTTACCCACTGAATGAAAATGAGGACATGACTGCTTCAAGGTATGGTTGAGAAGTGTTTTGTTGTAGATATGAGAGAGACCACAGCCAAGCATAAATTAAATTACATATGCTTTCATCCTATGTCTCTTTAAAAGCTTGATTTTCTTTCTTCTTGTGTTTATTTGATAAAGATTAATGTACTTTTAGATACTTGTCCAGGGGTAGGAGATGTGGCAGTGAGGGAAACAAGGAGTTAATCTTTCTGGCAAAATTTCTGGTAACTTTCAGTAAAAGGTTTATCTTTATAGTAAAAAGAGGCAAGTTAAAGAAATGTGTGTGTGTGTTACACATCTACCCACATATGAATTTCTTAAATCTCATATTAAATCCTTTTTTGTGTTCCTATAGTCCTGCTGCATTCTTTGGTAATTACAATAACTATTTGTGGAGATTGTGTCACCTATGTTTATACATTTTGTATAAAAAAACCCAAGTGTATATACAACACATGTGCTTTGGAGATATATAATTTACAACAAGCTCTCCAGATGGTGATAAACACTACACCAAATAGAAAGTTAGATACAGAGTAGTGTGGAGACAGAGGCCTGGGGAAGCACATGGGGTTAAGGGTATTGGCTATACTTTATGGCGAAGAGAATGTAAACCTCTGTGTTCTAGCTATAGACCCTCAGGCTCTCAGCTTTAAAGGGAAGCACAAAAAACATTCCTGCCCTGATAACGGGGAAGGAAATGCCAGAGCTTGGGCACAGTGTGTTACTCCTTGTTGGCTCTGGATCATGCTTTATATCTAAGCTTTTAGTTTATTTGACTTGGGAAGATTTAGTTCCACGTCCTCCCCGCCACCAGGAGTGCTGCTGGTAGTCAGTCTCAGCTGCCAGTTTTCTTTGGGGAGGTGCTTCAGCTAAAGTCACAGGAGCCCCAAATCATGTCCTGTTCTAGCTCCTATTCAGGGCTGGTAAGATATAGCTTCACTTCCCACACCCATCTAGCCACCCAGACTTCAGAGCAGCTTGTGAGGTTGGGATGTCCTCACACATTAGTTCTTGCTCTGCTTCCTCCTACCTCCATTTTACAGCGGCTTACATCCAGCAGCAGTCCCTAAGAAATGTTTTGCATCTCCTTTTCAATTCCTGTATCAACTAGAGCAAAGTCTGCAAATCACATAGAGTGGTCTATCCTGCTATATATTCCTAAACAGCAAAGTGCAGTAATTTATCCTCACACCCATAAAATGACTAGAAATGTCTTTCATGGAGTGTAGATCACAAGCACACCAAAGGAAATAGTCTTGCAGACAGTGTAAAGTCTTCCTATTCCTAGCACCAAGGATGATTTGCTGTGTACCTTTTCCAGAAATGCAAAAAGCTGAAGTTTAATCTGGGTCAGATCTACTGAATACGAACTTGCACAAGATCACCAAGGTCTGTACTGACATTAAAGTCTGAGAAATACTGGGCTATGTGATTAATATAAACAGCAAGCTTTAGCTGGTAATTCCTAGTCTGCACAATGTCTTCATAACAGTTTGCTTAAAGATAAGACTTTCTTTCATGCAGCAAAGACTGATTGAATGTCATGCTGAGATTTCAGACTTTCTGAGATTGCATTCTAAGAAACAGAGAAAATCAATCAATGGGCATATGTGTAGTGTGTGTGGCGGTGGCAGTGGGGTGGAAAGGTGTTATTAAAATGCAGTGGGATAAAGAGAATGGAAGAGTGGGTTGCAATCTAAAATTTCTGCAAAGACGGTGATAAGCAGAGAACTGAAGCAGGTGAGGCAGTTTGTTTGAGGATAATAAGTCTTGAGTTTTGTCGATACTAAGAGCAAAGTCAACTAAAGTGAATGCAAGGGTTTGAGAGATGCAAACTAATGGGTGCAGTTACAGAGGCAACGGAACTGATCTCTTGATGAGACTGTAATAATTTGTCATTTGACAGTTCATTATTAAAATGGACATGCAGTGTGTGTGTGTGTGTGTGTGTGTGTGTGCGTGGTAGTCGTTTGGTTTTTTTCTAAGAACAAAGTGCTTACCCAAGCACATTGGGTTGTGTTGTGGGAGTCTGCACAAACAAAAAACAGAGGTTCAAGTTTCGAAGACAAAACCGGCAGGAATTGGAGAAAGCTTATTTGAACTCTTCTAAAAAACCTCAGGTTCCAAGATGCCTACAGGGATGAGATAAGCATGGTGTCTGGGTTGTATTCTGAGGCAGAAATCTGTAACCCCAGGTCACTACAAAAACTGAAAGAGGAATAGTGGAAGGTGGTGTCAAGTTGAAAGAACCTTTGGATCGGAGTTCTTCTTGTAGCCCAGAGGCCAGGTGCTGAATACAGACCGGGCACACGAAGGTTCAAGCCTTAGGCTAGTCCACTTCTCTTGCAACTTAGTCAGGCTTTTCCGCCCACGCCCTGATCCGATAGCTTGCCCAGCCAGACTTCTCCCATTCCTGGCATCTCAGTTCAGGACCCGCCTCCTCGTGGAGACCCCGCCTCAAAATCCCACCCCCGTCCCGGATCTCCAGTCAACGCTTACAAATCGAGTATTCTCCCCGCCCCTTTGCCTAGACCCCACCCTGGCCCCGCCCCTGACGGTCCTCCTCTGCCCCTACCTCCACTCTTCGTCCTGCCGAGACTCCACCTCCCTCTAAAACCACGCCTCTCAGAGGCTGTAGACGTCCACTTTGGTCCCGCCCATCTCTCCGGCCCCGCCCCCTGCGGACTTAAGCGCCCGGGCGGACGTGACGCCAGGCCCGGGCCTCAGGCCGCACGGGTAACCCGTCAGTCCCCTTTATTGCTCTGGGATAGAGCCGCAGGCCGCAGCTAGAAGCATGATTCTGCTGGTGGTCCTGATGCTGTCTGCGGAGGCCGGGAGCGGAGCCGTGACTAGCATCGAGGATCCAGAGCCGCCTTCGGGTAATGACTCTGAGCCGCTGCGGGCAGGGTTGTGGCAGGAGGCCAGGCGGGAGGCGCCC